TAGTAGTAGTGCATTCGTAGTAGTAGTAGTAGTAGTAGTAGTAGTAGTAGTCGTAGTAGTAGTAGTAGTAGTAATAGTAGGAGTAGTAATCGTGGATGTACGATTCATAATAGTAGTAGTAGTATTAGTAGTAGTGGTGGAAGTAATTGTAGCTGTAGTTGTTGGAGTCGTCGTAGTATTCATAGTAGTAGTAGTAGCAGCAGCAGCAGTCGTTGTGGTAGGAGTAGATAATAGTCGTCGTTGTAGCGATGAACAGAGTAGGAGTACTAGCAGTAGTGATAAAGGTAAAATAATTGTTGTTGCTGTAGTGGTAACAGTAGGTGTAGTGGTCATGGTCGTAGTAGCCTTAGTAGTTGTGACAGTAGTAGTATAGTATTAGTATTAGTAGACGTAGTAGTGATAGTAAGATTGGCAGTAGTGGCAGTAGAGGCATCCGTCGTAGAATTAGTGGTAGTAGCAGCGGTCGCGGTACTAGTCGAAGAAGTAGTAGTGATAGTAGAAGTCGTACTCGTGGTGGTAGTAGTAGTAGCTATAGTAGTAGTAGTCGTAGTAGTAGTAGTTGCTGTAGTACTAGTAGTAGTAGTAGTAGTAGTAGTAGTAGTAGTGGTGGTGGTGGTGGTGGTGGTGGTAGTAGTTGCAGCAGCACTATTACTATAAATAGTAGTCGTAGTAATACTAAGAATGGTCGTAGTAGTCATCGCCGGCGTTGCCGTAGTAATAATAACAGATAGTAGTAGAAATAAGAATACCAGAAGTAGTAGTAGTAGTAGTAGTAGCACTCGTAGTAGCAACAATAACAATGCTTAAAGTAGTCGAAGTACTAGTACTAGTAGTCGTAGTAGTACTAGTAGTAGTAGTAGTAGTAGTAGTAGTAAAGGTAGTAGTAGTAGTAGTAGTAGTAGTAGTAGTAGTCGTAGTAGTCGTAGTAGTAGTAATAGTAGTTCGTAGTAGCAGTCGTCTTAAAGGTAGGATTAGTAGTAGTAGTAGGAATAGTAGTAGTAGTAGTAATAATAACACTAGTAGAGGTAGTCGTCGTAGTAGTACAAATAATAATATCCGTAGTAGTGGTAGTAGTAGTAGCAGAAATCGTAAAACTAGTAACCGTATTAGTAGTAGTACTAGTAGTGGTAGTAGTGATAGCGGTAGAAATAATAATACGCATCATAATAGCAGGAATGGTGATAGTAGTCTTAGACATAGTCGCATTAGTACTCGTCGGTGTAGTGGTAGTAGCAGTAGTAGTAGTAATAGTAGTACTTAGTAGTAATAGTAATAGTAGTGGTAGTAGTAGTAGTAGCAGTAGTAGTAGCAAGAGTAGTAGTAGTAGTAGTAGTAGTAGTAGTAGTAGTAGTAGTAATAGTAGTCGTAGTCGTAGTCGTAGGAGTAGGAGTAGGGGTAGTAGTATGAATAAGAGTAGTGCTACGAATCGTTATAGTAGCACCTGTAGTAGCAGTAATAGTAGTAGTAGTAGTAGTAGTAGTAGTAGTAGTGGTAGTAGTAGTAGTAGTAATAGTAATAGTAATAGTAATAGTAATAGTGGTAGTGGTAGAAGCAACACGAAGTGCGGGCCGTCAGTTGTGAGGGTTGTTGGCATTCTCTCCTGTTCGGGCTTCCGTCGGCTCAAGATGGCCCAAGAGGCCTCCAAGAAAAAGGTATCGACATGGCCCAAATTGGCCCAAGAGGCCTTCACGACGGCATCAACACGGCCCTGGGCACCAAATAGGGCCTGAATCTGGCCCAAGAGGGCCCCCAGAGGGGCACGAGACGGCCTCAGATGACCCCTAGACGGCGCCATACAGTCTCACGACGACCGCAAGAGATCCCCCAGAGCCGCGAGGGTCCCAAGGGAGCCCCAAGACGGCCCCAAGAAGGCCAAAGAGGGCCCCAAGAGAGCCCCAAGACTGGCCCACAGGAGCACAATACAGACCAAGAACAGCCAAAACAAGGTTGATGAGGGTTCGCCGAAAAGTGAAGCCGAAAGGTGTCAAGTGTGACGGCTCTCCTCCGCCTCCTCCTCCGCCTCCTCCTCCGCCTTCTCCTCGCTCCCCTTCTCCTCCTCCTCCTCCTCTTCCTCCTCAACCTCCTCCTCCTGATCATCATGATCAGCATCACCACCACAACCACCAGCATCATCATCATCACCACCACCACAATCATCATCACCATCATCAGCATCATCATCATAATCATCATCACCATCATCGTCATCATCGTCGTCATCACAGTCATCAAAATACCTTCATCATGGCCGTCGTCATCGTCGTCATCATCATCACCATCACCATAACCAGCATCCTCTCCACCACACACATCACCATCATCGCAATCACCATCATCATCGTCATTATCATCAGCATCATTATCATAATCACTACCATTACCATTACCATGACCGTGACCATTACCATTATCATTACCATTACCATTACCATTACCATTACCATTACCATTACCATTATCATCATCATCATCATCATCCTCATCCTCATCCTCATCGCCTATCATCACCGTCACCATGATTGTCATCATGGTCATCATCAGTAGCATCTTCACCACTACCAACATCATAACCACCACCATCATCATCATCAGCATCATCATCATCACCATCAACATCACCACCACCAACCCCGTCACCATCACCGTCATCAGCATCACCATCATCATCGCCACCACCATCATCATCACCACCCTCTGCATCACAATTACCACCATCACCATCATCATCATCATCGTCGTCATCATCATAATCAGCATCATCATCAGCAGCATCATCACCACCACCACCATACTCGGCATCACAATCATCATCATCATCATCATCATCATCATCATCATCATCATCATCATCATCATCATCATAATCATCATCATCATCGTCATCATCGTCATCGTCATCATCGTCATGACCATCGATTCGAGCCACAAGATACTCTAGAGATGCCGCAAGAAGCTCACCAGAGGGCCCAATCATCTCTTCGGAAGTCCCCAGAAGCTCGATGGAGGCCGCAAGAAGGTCCCCAGAGGCCCCAAGGAGCTCTTCAGCCCTCTCAAGGAGCTCGTCAGCCTCAAAGATGCTCACCGCCCCCTAGAAGATTTGCAGATGCCCTCAGAGGCTTGTCATACGCTTCTGATTTAACTATGAAGAGAGGGGTCTGGGTCTCTTCCTGCACAACAGCCCCCCAAGCAGGATCTTCAGATGCCCTCAGGGGGTCGTCATGCGTTTTGTATCGGCTGTCAGGGGGTGGGGTCTGGGGCTCTCCCTGCAGGCTACCCCCCCCCCCGTCTGCCGCACTCGAAGATATTCATAGGGTCCGGAGCACCCGTGCCCACTCAAGCACCCACACGGCCACACGAACACACAACGGGCCACACAGACACCTCCTCTCCAGGAGAGAGGGGACGCCTCCGCGAGCCCGCGCTCTCCGAGCTGCACCCCACCACCGTGCGAGGAGCCAGGTCATCGATCGGGAAACGGGCAGCCGCCTGAACAAGTGCAGCAGCCAAGGCTGGCTCAGAGCGTCAGCAGGCGAGTCACGCAGGAGGAACCCGTGGAGACGAAAACAGGCCTTGGGAAGGCCAATCATTTGAACACTGGCCCGCATTGTAGCGCTGTGCTTAGGTCCTACTGCCCGAGCACAGGCGCCTCGAGCCTCAAGACAAAAGGAAATACCAGCCAGAACGAATGACGCACGATGCGCACAACCCGTATGGTGGGACGCGATGCGTTCAGGGAGGTCCTGGTTAGGAGACGCCGAAAACATACACCCTGAAGGGTCCTGGCTAGTCCCGCCCTGGGCCCTGGATGGGTGTACACTTATGTTGCTCCCATCGTACTTGAGAAACACATCCAAGAAATAATTTCGAGCGCCCAGAAAAGTGTCGAAACAGTGTCGAACGAGTATCGTCTCCCAGGGCCCGACACGTGAAAGCCCTCCAATTTCGGCACCTTCCTGGTGCTCGAGGTTCTCTCTGGTGATCAAGGCTGGAGCAGGTTGCAGCATCACAGGTGTACTCACCCTCCCGGCCTGGGCCAGGATGGCGCGCACGCCGATCCCAAGTTTGGGATCGGCCTGGCCAGGACCGATGCGGGCGTACAGCTGGCGCCCTCCCAGTGGTGCGCGCGCGGCCTCGAGCACAACGGCGCTCCACGCGCCCACGATGGCTCACGGCCTGCCCTGGCCCGCCAGGGGGGACGCGCTCGGGGGGCCCAGCGACGGTTCACTGGTGCTGCCTCGGGTGTCGCCAGAAGTGCCCCTGGCCCGAGGCGCCCAGCCAGCTTTTCGCTCCACGTTTTGGGGCGCCCTGGGCTCTTGAGGGGTGCTCTGGAGGCCGTCCGGGCCACCCCGAGAATCCTGTCGGGAGCGGCCAAGAGGGGGTGTCCAAGAGGGGGGGTGCAAAGCATGACCGGCGGCGGCATGTGCGCGGCCCAGCGGGGGGGCCGGGGACGTAATGAAATAAGAGAAGGCGCCATGAAATCTGGGGAAATATCATGGCCCACGCCATGATATCCACCCCCCCCTTGTCATCACCCCCCTCTTTGCCCCCGAATCCTGGGGGCACCCTGGGCCAGCGGCGCTTCTAGCAGCACCCGAGCTGCGGGCCAAGAGCGGGCAGAGAGGCGAGCCGGGCGCGCGGGTGCTCGCAGAGCTCCCGGTAGAGGTTGCAGCCAACCTTCGTTGCGGTCACCTCGGCGAAGCGGTCGGCCAAGCAGCCGCAGAGGCTCCTCACGTCGGCGTCGGAGCAGTGCGCGAACGCCGCCCTCAGGACGTGGCCGCCGTGGTAGTGCCCCACGATGGGCCCGAGATTCGCCAAGAGTGCACGGCAGATGATGCGCTTGTGCTCGTCATCGTGCGTGTGCTCCAGGATGGCCTCGATGACGTGGTGCGCGTACGTGTGGCAGCAGTGCTCGCTTGCCCTGCTCAGCAGCACGCTCACGAGCGCAGCGCACGCTGGCAGCTCCAGGCAGTGCGCGAAGAGCTGGATGAGGATGCGGCAGCCATAGCGGTGGCGTGCGACGCGCTCCGCCCGACCCTCAAACTCCCTGATCACCGCGCCCAGCTTCTCGGCCGGCAGCACCTCGAACACCTTCTGGGCCACGTAGTTCGCGTGCGGGCTCTGCATCATCTCCTGGTGGGGGGGGGGGACGTCCGGGGGAGGGTCCTGGCTCAGAGGGGGGAGGCGTCGAGCTGGAATCGGCGATACGTCGCCGATAGATCGGCGGTCGGCCCCGATGGCGAAACCGCAGGTTCCTGGGCGCGGCGGGCTATCAGGCACATCCCGGCGACGAAAAGGGGATCGGAGGTCGATGCGTTCCCCTCTGAGCCTATGAGTATCGTTCAACCGATCCCCATCCCCAGCGGCGTGGCCTGGGCCCCACTGGCCGAGCAACCCCCCTAGATGGGGGATATAGGCCGTTCCCTTCGGGTTTCGAGGGGTGTATCCCCAACTGGGGTGGCAGTGTGGTGGGGGTTTCGAAGGGGATGCGGATGGGGATGGGGAGCGGTTAAACGACACCGAGTCTAAAGCAGGGCTGAACCTGAACGGTGTTTTTCGTTTTCGTTTTGTTCTCGTCCTCCCTCGCTTTTGTCTCGGATCCGCCCTTACCGCAAAACGAATTCGAAACGAAAACGACCCACGAAATCGCCAAAAACACCGCTTAGGTCCAGCCCTGGAGAGGGGGGCGAAGCAGCGCGTCAACCCTTCGTGCACCGACGGGGGCCCCGACGATGCGCGAGGGGCGCACTCCTCTTCACCCTTTTGCTTGAAGGGGCCCTGGGACACACAGATCAACAGGCACAAACAACAGGGTTCCCCAGATGTTCCCAGATTTCCGATGTCTTTGTCTCCCCCCCCCCACACTTCCCATACGTTCCCATATTTTCGGGGGAATCGACGATTCATTGTGTCTGTGTGTTTTGTCTCCTCCTGATTACTGCCCCCCCCCCTACTCAACGCCTGACGAGCCGGTCTTTGAAGGCATCTGGCGGGGCCGAAAACAGGCACAAACAACAAGGTTCCCCAGGTGTTCCCAGATTTTCGGCGTTTTTGTCTCCCCCCCACACTTCCCACATGTTCCCATATTTTCGGTGGAATCGACGAGTCATTGTGTCTGTGTGTTTTGTTTCCTCCTGATTACTTCCCCCCCCTACTCAACGCCCGACGAGCCGGTCTTTGACGGCATCTGGCGGGGCCGAAAACAGGCACAATCAACAGGGTTCCCCAGGAGTTCCCAGATTTTCGGTGTTTTTGTCTCCCCCCCCCCACGCTTCCCACATGTTCCCATATTTTCGGGGGAATCGACGATTCATTGTGTCTGTGTGTGTTTTTTGTCTCCTCCTGATTACTGCCCCCCCCTTACTCAACGCCCGACGAGCCGGTCTTTGACGGCATCTGGCGGGGCCGAAAACAGGCACAAACAACACGGTTCCCCCAGGTGTTCCCAGATTTTCAGTGTTTTTGTCTCCCCCCCCCCACTTCCCACATGTTCCAATACTTTCGGGGGAATCGACGAGTCATTGTGTCTGTGTGTTTTGTCTCCTCCTGATTACTGCCCCCCCCATTACTCAACGCCCGACGAGCCGGTCTTCGACGGTCCACCCCTGGTCTAGAGAGGTCGGCGACAGGGAGGAGGAGGAGGAGGAGGAGGAGGAGGAGGAGGAGGAGGAGGAGGAGGAGGAGCCCCCGATCTAGAGTGTCCCCCCGTACGCTGCCCCTGAGCTCCACGGCGTGCCCGGAGAGCTCCGCCAGCAGGGCGTCCCGCGCCTCCCTGCCCGCCACCTCCGCAGGCGAGAGGGCAAGCGGCACCGCCACCACTACAGTGGGGGTGTTGACTCAAGGAACCCTGAATAAGGAACGAGGCCCCATTTTCCTCCTACTCCTCCTCCTCCTCCTCCTCCTCCTCCTCCTCCCCTCCTCCCCTCCTCCCTCCTCCTCCTCCTCCTCCTCCTCCTCCTCCTCCTCCTCCCTCCTCCTCCCCTCCTCCTCCTCCTCTCCTCCTCCTCCTCCTCCCCCCTCCCCTCCCCCTTCCCCTCCTCCTCCCCCTCCTCCTCCCCTCCCCTCCCCCTCCCCTCCGCCTCCTCCTCCTCCTCCTCCTCCTCCTCCTCCTCCTCCTCCTCCTCCTCCTCACACTTCCTCCGCCTACCCTGTCACGTTGTCCTTTAGCTCTTTCCTGTGATCACACATCCCGTCGCCATCGACGGCCAAAACCTTCAGGGTCGGCGGCACCGGCCGTAAGGCCTTCACAATAGGGAACGAGGCCCCTTTTTCCCATAAGTTTAACTCCGATGTTCCATGGAAAACCTCAGGAAAGCCCAGGGAGCACTGTGAAACAACCAAGGAGCACGGAGCCCCTCCCAAACGAAAAGAGTTCCTTCTTCAGCGCCCCGACTGTAGCGCGAGGAGCCAGGGGGGATCCTCATGATGGTCCGGGGGCGCGCAAGCGTGGTTGAGCGATGCACGGATCTGGCGCCGCGCGGTCGCCACAAATCCATGGATCGGGGGAGGTGCCCTCCCCAAAGTGCGGCCAGTGCCGCCTCGCTCGGCGGCGGAAAGCCGCGATGTCCCACGGGAACGGGACCCGCCGCTAATCCACGCCCCCTTGATCCGTGCTTGCGATCGCCTGAGTGGTGCGGCCCCCCCCTCCCCGCTCGAGGCATACCCCATCCCCAGCTCGGGGAGGCATCGTGGACCTTCTCGCTGGAGGTGGCCCCCCCTGGTGGAGGCGGGTGGTGGTGTCGCTTCTCCTTCCTCCGACCTCCAGCGCCCTCTGCACGAGCCTGGTCCCTGCCTTGTCGAACGAGAGCTGGAGCGCGTGCCCGCACACAGCCGCGAGCGCGCCACCCCGTGCCCCCGCGTCACCCTCGAGCTCCGCGAGGCGCGCCTCGCACCAGGCGGCGTCGAAGGCGGGCGGCGGCGGCGGCGGCGGCCGCTTGCCGCTGCGGACGCCGCGCTGGGCCCGCTGGCGCCCCTGTTGAGGGTCAGGGTCAACGTCAGGGAGGGTCCTGGCTCAGCGGGGCAGACACCGAGCGGGAATCGGCGATGCGTCGCCGGACACACCGGCGTTGGGCCCCCGGTGGCGATGCCGCACGTGCCTGGGCGGGGCTGGGCGATATCGGGCCCCAAGCGGCGGTCGGTGGGCGATCGGGGGGCCGATGCAGCCACCCCCTGACTCTTCGCCCCTGGCCTGTTGGGGCGCACTGCCGCCTCCGCCCTCCGACTTGCCACTGGTGCCCCCGCCGCTGCCCCCGGGGCCGTCGGCGGCCGGGGCGCGCGGCGCAGGCGCTGGGCGGCCGCCGCCCCGCCTGCGGCGCTGCGCCGGGGCGGGCGTCGCCCCCCCGAAGGCCTGAGAGAAGGCAGCCGCGCAGACGGGAGCCGTGAGGTTCGACCTCCCCTTCGCTGCAAGCGTATCATCCGTCAGCGTGCCCGCCAGAGGGTAGTATTGTGTCGGAGGGCGGCGGCTCCTTGCAGATTCTGAGGGACCCACCCACCCCTCGCTGACGCTCCCCATGGGGCTCTAGAAGCCTCTCCGAGGCTTCCAAGACGGCCGAGCAAGTTCACAAAGGCCGCGAAGATGGCCCAAGATGCCTCCAAGACGGCCCAGCATGGCCCCAAGACGGCCCAACATGGCGTCAAGAGCGCACAAGACACCCCCAATACGGCCCAACAGGGCCCCAACACAACCCCCAGGAAAGAGACCAACTTTACTGATTTGCCGTAGGTTTTTGAACGATGTTCGCGGTCTCAGCTCTTCGGGCTTCCATCAGTCCAGGGCGGCCTAAAGGGCTTCCAAGAGATGGCCGCAAGACTGCCCAAGAGGGACCCAAGAGGGCCCACGAGGGCCCCAAGAGGCCTCCAAAACGGCTCCAAGACGGCCCAATAGGCCCCCAAGACAGCCGTAAAGGGCCCCGAGGCGGCCCCAAGACGGGCTAGAAAGGCCCGAGACGGACCCCGAGGGCGACAGACGGCCCAAGACGCTCCCAAGAGGCCCCAAAGAGGCCTCAAGAAGAGGCACCCAGGATACTCCAAGAGTTGATGAGGGAAGAAGAGGAAGGGAGGAGGAGGAGGAGGAGGAGGAGGAGGAGGACGACGACGACAAAGACGAGGAGAGGCAACCCGACACGACGCGGAAGAGCGTGTCACATGCTACGGCCATCTCGAGGCTCGAGACGGGGACGGAATATGTCACACGTTACAACCATCTGGGCAGTGCTCCAGGGGCCGCCAACAAAAGCACTGCGCTGACAAGGTGGCGGGGCTAGACGCAGGCATCTGGATATGAGCACTACTCTGCTCGCTCCCCTTGTGCTGTCTGGTGGCTCTCCAGCCTCTCCCGCGCGCTGCCTTTAAATGCAAGATTACTGAGAGGGCGGTCTTGTTGATACCAGCTTGGTCAGAACGGACCGCTCTCTGTCCTTAGCTTTACCCTCGATCAAGCGTTCCCCCTGCAGGGTTGGCGACGGGTTGGGATCGGTGCTCTGCTCCCGTCGTTCAGCACGGTGCTCTCGTCCCTGCACGGGACAGATATCTGAAATTGGCGACGCAGAAGACACGGACAAAAAAACTGGCCTCTCAAGGGGCAAGATCTTTGATCCATGTTCATTGCGCCTCGGGCTTCGACGTAAGGGAGTCCGAAAATCCGAGACGTAGTGGATATGGGACAGAGATATTGTCCGCGCTCGCCTCCCTCAATGCCCCCCGCCTCCCCCAGCAGGCCGGGCCTCACGAATCACGCGCCTCTGTCGCTTTGGGCGCCCCGCGACCTCGCACTGCTGGGCCCCCAGCTGCGCCCCAGCGGCGAACTGGGCGGCGAACTGACCCACGCAGAACAGCGCCTGCTCCCGGGGGGACGTGCGCGCAGGGAGCCCATGATTTGAGCAGGGACCGACCGTCCCGGCATTTCTGTAGGCCTGCCACGAAATGTTCTTAGGACCTAAAAATGTTCTAAGAACGGAACAAGAACCATTCTCTTAGAACACAAGCCCGATGTGCCAAAACAAGACAGCCCCAGCCAGAAATGTCCTGAGAACACTTCGTGGAAACCACCAGAAAGGTTCTGAGAACATTCTCTGGTAGGCCTACAGTCGGCGTGCTGAAACAAGGAACGATAAACAAGGAACGCAGCCCCTTTTTGGCCCCACAAGCGCCTGCGTGCACGAGCACGGCTAGAGGAAAAGCCATAGAAGGACCTAAGGAATATCGAGCCCCTTTCTTACCCAAACTGTTCCTTACTTCAGCGACTTGGCTGTATAGGCGAGCCGGGCCGCTTCGCCACTGCTTGAAGGAGGCGCCCGAGGCCGAGAGTCTTGCTCCCGGCGCGCCCCCCCCAGGCCTGCACCCCTGCCCGGGGACCGAGCTCTCCCCATCCCGAGCTCGGGCGCGCTGCGCCTTGACAGCAAAGAGGGAGGGGGAGAGGGCTGAACTAAACGGTGTTTTTCGTTTTCGTTTTGTTTTCGTTGTCCCTCGCTTTTGTCTCGAATCCGCCTTTACCGCAAAACGAAGTCGAAACGAAAGCGGCCCACGAAATCGCCGAAAACATCATTTAAGTTCAGCCCTGGAGAGGGGGGCGAAGCAGCGCGTCAACCCTTCGTGCACCGACGGGGGCCCCGACGATGCGCGAGGGGCGCACTCCTCACCCCTTTTGCTTGAAGGGGCCCTGGGACACACAAATCAACAGGCACAAACAACAGGGTTCCCCAGATGTTCCCAGATTTTCTGTGTTTTTATCTCCCCCCCACTCCCCATATGTTCCCATATGTTCTGGGGAAACGACGATTAATGGTGTCTGTGTTTTTTTTTCCCAACCATCCTGTGGTGTTGGGTCCTCGTTTTGAAGAGACGGTCCCCGCGTCCTCCTCTCCTCTCCTCTCCTCTCCTCTCCTCCTCCTCCCCCTCCTCCTCCCTCCTCCCCCTCTTCCCTGTTGCAAAGTTGCGCCTCAACTTTGCAGCGGGCAAAACGGAGGTACTGTTTCAGTTGCGAGGACGTGGAGCCAGACTAGCCAAACGAGAACTCTGGTGGGACCGTCAGGGAAGATTCGAGATACAATCCGACCTACTGGGCACGTTCACACTACATGCAGTACGCACATACCCACACTTGGGCACACAGATGGATGAGCTGGGATCCATAGGGCCCGAGTTGGCCCACAGGGAGGATTCTATACGGTCATCGGCCAATCTGCTACGACGGCGCATATTTGGGGCTCCAGTGGATATCCCCCAAGAAGCCCGCTTACACTTTACCGACACCCTCCTCTTCTCGGGCCTCCTCTTCAACTCGGGCACCTGGCCACAACTCACTGACGCGCAGCATGCACACATGCAGCACGTCATGGTGAATAAATATCGACAGGTGCTCCACCTACCGCAAAAGGATGAAGATTCAGTACCGGACAGATTGATCCTTGCTAAGGTAGAGAGAGCTGACCTACGTGCAATGCTACGTGTGCAAAGGTTACGCATACTAGGACGACGCATACACTACGGCACACCCACGCTACGCAGTTTGGTTGCGCATGTGTATAGAGTTGCACAGGGCAGGCGCACGCCTTGGATGCACAGAATCATTGACGACCTGGAGTGGTTACGTACTACATACCACAAATTTCGTGACATGCCCGAGCCAGACACACACTTTGCAAATTGGGAAGACACCATTCAGTCATCTTTCATGCGCTCAACAGCGCACTCAGAGCTCCTGCCATGGCAGCAGCTAGAGCAGCGCTGGCGCAGCAGGCACAAAGCGACTTTTTCACGCTAGTTCGGCCAGCGGGCGTGCCTGTGCCCATCACGGATCCCATGCACCCCATTTACCCCCCCAAAGTGTTCAATGCCAGCCTACAATGCATGTGGTGCAGCTTTCTTGGCACGTCAGCCAAAAGCACACGACAACACATCGTGCGTGTACACTACAGTGCGGTACACCTTATCTCACGCTTCATAGGGGAGGGAAGTACATGCATGGCGTGCTCTATGCCTTTTGCAGCAAGAAGACAGTTGCGAGATCATCTTGCATTTGATGCGCCACTATGCCAACTAGCGTACATGATGCATGGAGCTGCAGAATCCCCGGACAGAGCCGAGGAGTTGCGCCTAGCAGATGCAGTCAGTCATGCAGCTCAGAGAAAGGCAGGACTAGGGCGCTGGCGAGCAGCCTTCCCAGCAGCAGTGCAGTACCCAGAGGACGGACTTTACCCGTCAGCCATGCTGGTAACCGCCACTTTCAGCGCAGATGAAGCCAGGACCCTACTCCAGCAGGCAGCATATGAGATCAGCCCTGATGCTCGCCCAGCCTACCAGGCCCTCTTCGACGACCCCCCCGAGGAGCCTACCCAGGATCAGCCTCTCTACATGGACCGACACTACAAATACAGATCTCACGACTTTCAAGGGATAGCGGCAGAGTGGATACCCTGCCGCATCCATCGAGCTGAGGTGTTCATTTTGAATTTATTCTCAGGCAAGAGAAGGCAAGGCGACATACAGTTTTGGCTGGACGGCATGTACACACACAGGGACTTGCAGGTATGTATGCTGAGTGTGGACATTGCAATCAATCCCACACTAGGGGACCTCACACAGGCCAATACTATCCGACAGTGGGGGGAACACATACTATCCAGACGGGTATGGAATACTGGGGGGGGGGCCCTGTGAAACATGGAGTGCGGCCAGATGGCTGGATGGGGGTCCCCCCCCCTGCGTACTCATGAATGGTTTTGGGGCGTCCCCTGGACTACCGACAGGCAAGCACAGCAGCTCAAGGTAGGCAACACGCTCTTACAAAACCTGGTGTACCTCTTGGGCTGCCACGTCACTGCGGGGACCTCGGGGTGGATGGAGCATCCTATTCCCCCCTACTGGCGCTCCCAGGCTCCCAGCAGTTTCCAATGGGAGCCCCTTGCAGCGCTCGCATCAGCACCCAACGTTGTCACAGCAGACTTTGACCAGTGCGTGCATCAGCCAGCTACACGTTGCCCCAGTGAATATGGGCGTGCGCCCACAAGGCTGCTAGGCTTGCGCATGGAATGCCTTGCCAGCAAGCTGACAGATACTCCGAGGAAGGGACGCTGTCATCATCCCAAAGGGGCTCATAAGATACTTCGTGGCAAGGAGACGGACGGAAAGGGAGGGGGCCCACAGTTCAGAACCCATGCCAAAAAGACGTACCCCTCGGAGATGTGTAATAGGATTGCCGCATCGATAGCAGCATCTATCTCCAGAATCTTTGCGCACGCCAACGACGCACACATCGTGGGCGAGGATCTTGACCCCTCCCTCATCAATGACCTCCGACAGTTTTACATGCCTCACATTGATGATGATTTCAATCCTGCGCCAGACTATGTGCACAGGACTAAGAAGCAGGAAGGGGTTTCACGGGCTGACCCGGAGATCCATCGATTCATGAAGGAACCCGAAGAACCCGAGGACAGCCCCCAGAGCCCACAGTATGGTACTCCGACACAGGACGCATGTGGGTGTGATCCGACTCCAGCACCCGAGCCAAGACAATTCGTGTCCCCTGGATCGGATGAGGAGTCTGAAGTCACTGCTTTTTTCGGTCCTCCCTCCTCCCCCGCTCCCTCCGCCGTCGTGCCGCCGCCGCTGCCGCCTCCCCCGCCTCTCTCCCTCGCCCAGCTGGAGCGCATCGCTGCCAACAGGGCAGAAGCAGCGAGGAGGCGCGAGGCCAGACGGGAGGCCGCACATCAGAGGCGTGCCCCATGGCGAGGCACGCTCAGCTTCTCGGCCTACTTCAAGGCCGCGCGGACCCGCCTTGTGCCCCCCCCCACTTACAGATCGGGAGGTATAGGCACGAGTCGAGAAGCCTCTAGAGTGACCACGGCACCTCGCCCATGGCATCGTCCCACCACCACTCTTCCCTGCGTTTCACCCACCCAGTACAGCGTTTCGTCGCCCCATAGGAGCTCCGCCGAAGGCCCCAGTGCCGTCGCCCGCATGCGTCACCCACACCCAATTCGGCACACCCCTCACACGCTTCGTGGCCCCATAGGGAGCTCCGCCGAAGGCCCCAGTGCTGCCGCCCGCATGCGTCACCCACATCCAATTCGGCACACCCCTCACACGTTTCGTGGCCCCATAGGGAGCTCCGCCGAAGGCCTCAGTGCTGCCGCCCGCATGCGTCACCCACACCCAATTCGGCACACCCCTCACACGCTTCGTGGCCCCATAGGGAGCTCCGCCGAAGGCCCCATGGCCCGCAGGGAGCTCCGCCGAAGGCCCCAGTGCTGCCGCCCGCATGCGTCACCCACATCCAATTCGGCACACCCCTCACACGTTTCGTGGCCCCATAGGGAGCTCCGCCGAAGGCCCCAGTGCTGCCGCCCGCATGCGTCACCCACACCCAATTCGGCACACCCCTCACACGTTTCGTGGCCCCATAGGGAGCTCCGCCGAAGGCCCCAGTGCTGCCGCCCGCATGCGTCACGCACACCCAATTCGGCACACCCCTCACACGTTTCGTGGCCCCATAGGAGCTCCGCCGAAGGCCCCAGTGCTGCCGCCCGCATGCGTCACCACACCCAATTCGGCACACCCCTCACACGTTTCGTGGCCCCATAGGGAGCTCCGCCGAAGGCCCCAGTGCTGCCGCCCGCATGCGCCACCCACACCCAATTCGGCACACCCCTCACACGCTTCGTGGCCCCATAGGGAGCTCCGCCGAAGGCCCCAGTGCTGCCGCCCGCATGCGTCACGCACACCCAATTCGGCACACCCCTCACACGCTTCGTGGCCCCATAGGGAGCTCCGAAGGCCCCAGTGCTGCCGCCCGCATGCGTCACGCACCCAGCACACCCAATTCGGCACACCCCTCACACGTTTCGTGGCCCCATAGGGAGCTCCGCCGAAGGCCCCAGTGCTGCCGCCCGCATGCGTCACGCACACCCAATTCGGCACACCCCTCACACGTTTCGTGGCCCCATAGGGAGCTCCGCCGAAGGCCCCAGTGCTGCCGCCCGCATGCGTCCCGCACACCCAATTCGGCACACCCCTCACACGTTTCGTGGCCCCATAGGGAGCTCCACCGAAGGCCCCAGTGCTGCCGCCCGCATGCGTCCGCACACCCAATTCGGCACACCCCTCACACGTTTCGTGGCCCCATAGGGAGCTCCGCCGAAGGCCCCAGTGCTGCCGCCCGCATGCGTCCCGCACACCCATTTCGGCACACCCCTCACACGTTTCGTGGCCCCATAGGGAACTCTACCGAAGGCCCCAGTGCTGCCGCCCGCATGCGTCACGCACACCCAATTGGGCACACCCCTCACACGCTTCGTGGCCCCATAGGGAGCTCCGCCAAAGGCCCCAGTGCTGCCGCCCGCATGCGTCCCGCACATTCATTTCGGCACACCACTCACACGTTTCGTGGCCCCATAGGGAGCTCCACCGAAGGCCCCAGAGTGCTGCCGCCCGCATGCGTCCCGCACACCCATTTCGGCACACCCCTCACGCGTTTCGTGGCCCATAGGGAATGCGTCCCGCACACCCATTTCGGCATACCCTTCACACGTTTCGTGGCCCCATAGGGAGCTCCACCGAAAGCCCCAGTGGGTGTGCCCGCATGCGTCCCGCACATCCATTTCGGCACACCCCTCACGCGTTTCGTGACCCCTCACACGTTTCGTGGTCCCATAGGGAGCTCCACCGAAGGCCCCAATGGGTGTGCCCGCATGCGCCCCACACACCCATTTTGGCACACCCCTCGCACGTTTCGTGGCCCCGTAGAGGGGCTCCACCGAAGGTCCCAGTGCTGCCGCCCGCATGCGTCCCGCACACCCATTTCGGCATACCCTTCACACGTTTCGTGGCCCCAAAGGGAGCCCCGCCGAAGGCCCCATTGGGTGTGCCCGCATGCGTCCCGCACACTCATTTCGGCACACCCCTCACGCGTTTCGTGACTCTTCACACGTTTCGTGGCCCCAAAGGGAGCCCCGCCGAAGGCCCCAGTGGGTGTGCCCGCATGCGTCCCGCACACCCATTTCGGCAAACCCCTCGTACGTTTCGTGGCCCCGTAGGGGGCTCCACCGAAGAAGATATTCACAACTGCGGTACTCACAGTTGCATATGGTTGGGTCCTTCGCCAGGATAATTATTCCTCCTGATTCCCAAGGGGCCGAAAGCGGCCAAATACCTCCCGCCGCGCTTTGTGTCGCGACGAAGAGAGGTCTGGGGGAGCTCGCCGGCCAGGACTCTGGACGGAGAGGGAACGTGAGGGGTTAGGGGTGGACCAGCTCACGGGGGAAGCATCGACCTGACATCGGCGATGCACCGCCCATAGGTCGGCGAGCAGCACCAGGCAGCGAGTCCGCACTGGCCTGCTCCTGGGGGACAGCACGAAGCCGCAAAGGGCCAACGATGCCCGACGCCGTGATTTGCTTGATACATCGGCGATGCATCGGCGGTGCCTCGGCGATGCCTCGGCGATGCACCTGCGATGCATCGCCGACGTCGGCGATGCACCGGCGACGTCGGCATGGAGAACATCGGGCTCCACATCGCGGTGCATCGCCGATGCATCGGCGATGCGGCGCGACCCTCCGACTCCATCGACTCGGACCCCATCTAGGAGGCCTAGAGTTGCGGGAAGAGAGCTAGAGTTGAGCATGGACCGACCGTCCCAGCCTTCCTATAGGCCTACCACGAAATCTTCTTAGAACCCCAAAATATTCTGAAAACACAAAAAAATGATTAGAGCATAAACTCGATGCGTCAAAACAAGACAGCCCCAGCCAGAACTGTACTGAGAACATTTCGAGCAACCCGCAGACGGACCTTAGAACGTTCTTTGGTAGGCCCCTCCTCCTCCTCCTCCTCCTGCCCCTCCTGCTCCTCCTGCTCCTCCTCCTCCTCCTCCTCCTCCTGTCCTCCTCCTCCTCCTCCTCCTCCTCCTCCTCCTCCTCCTCCTCCTCCTCCTCCTCCTCCTCCTCCTCCTCCTCCTCCTCCTCCTCATGGGCACGCCGGGACGCTCCGCCTCTGCTTGAGACAGGAGAGGCCCCGCTTGCGTCCACGAGCACGCGCGGCGGCCTCGTGCGGTGGCCTCATGCGGCCCCCGCGCGGGCAGCTGCCTCAAGGGCTCCCAACTTCGCGCTTCGCGCTGCGCGAAGCGCGAAGTGCAAATAACTTCGCGCTCTCGCGCCGCCTCCCAGGGGAGAAGAGGAGGACGAAGAGGAAGCGGAGCCGAACCGCGAAGCGCGAATACCTTCGCGCCCTTGAGGGCGCCCTTCTGCCTGCACCGATCCCTGGCCCGGCCAGCACTGGGCCCCGTCAGAGGCGACGCCACGGGGCGAATAGCCCAAGCGAGCGCAATGCCTGCGTTTGAAGGGGCCCTGAGACACACAAATAAACACACACGGATAACAGGATTCCCCGTATGTTCCCATATTCTCAAAGTTTTTGTCTGGCTCCCTACTTCCCATATGTTCGCATATACTTTCCTGGGGATCGACGACTCCTTGTGTCTGTGTGTGTTTTCCCCCTCCTGAGTGCTCAGGTGCTCCGCTGGGCTGCGCCTTCGAGAGACGTGTGCGTGCAGTGCCCGCCCCGGGGCTCCTCGCCCCTGTCGTCGCCGCCGAGCCCCGGATGTACCTCCCCCGCCAGGCCGGGAGGCCGGGTACGCGTGGACCCTGGGACCAGGCTGGGCGCGGCCAGGGTCGCTGCGGGCGCGCAGGTGGGCGCCCTCCGGTAGCGCCCGCGCGGCGGGCCCTCTGCTCTAACTCGAGGTCGCTCGCTGCGGGGCTTGGTGTTAGGTCGGGCCTGCCCCCTTCCAGGGAGGTTTGGACGAAACATCAAAATTGCCCCAAAAATGCTCACAAGATGCCCAAAAATACTCAAAAATGGTCCCCAGACTATGTTTTGACTATTTTTGAATATTTCTCCTGTAGAGGGACAGGCCCGACTTGAACTGGGCGCGGCGCCGCAATGCGAACGCACCCACTGGGGCCCTCGGTAGAGCTCCGTGGGAGGCAGGAAACGTGTGACGGGTGTGCCGAGTTTGGTGGTGCCAAACCGTTGCGACGCTCGACCTTCCCCGAAGACCGCACCGCAAGGCCCCTCACCGCACCGCCTCGGGATCCTGGAGGCCCCAGGTCGCCCGGGACGTCCTCGGAGACCGACCCGAGTCCCCACACAGTGCGGTCACCCCGCACCCCCTCTGACTCACAGCATGGTGTCCCCACACCGCTCGGGGGCCTGCGGCTGCGGCTGGCCGTACTGCCACCCCTCGGCGTGCCCGGCGTGCTGCTGCCCAAAGGCCACCGGCTGCCAACACCACACGGCCGCTGGCGGCGCGCCCGCGCCGGGCACGTCCGTGGGCTGCCTGGGGAGGACCGATACCGTTGCTCCCCAGACATCTCCCCTCGTGCGTTCTGACCAGGATGTCGAGACGAACGCAGCCGTGGCGACGACGGGAGGGTAGCGGTATCGGTACATGTCGTTCATTTCTAATCGCGTTCATTTCTAATTGTGCTCGTTTCAAATTGTTGCTGGCCCCCTAGTGGCCAGGAAGAGGCCCAGGATAAAAAACAATTAGAGATAAAAGGATCTTGGCCCCCCCAAAAGCCAAAGAACTTTCGAAGAATGAGGAATGAACAATGTGTACATGTTCCTTCTCCGACGGCCAGCAGCACTCGGCCCGCGGCACGCCAACCTCGGACCGCGGCGTCTCCACGAAGTCGCTATCGCCACCGTGCGCCGTGGTCGTGCCCGTCGGGGCCTGCGACGACAGGCTCGTGTCGGACCGCGGCGTGTGGGAGCTCGGCGTGGCCACGGCCCCCACCAGCGGGGCATCGAGCGCCAGCCTGCCCACCTGACGGGCAACCTCATGGAGAAGCTGGCTCGGGAAGGGTGCAGCAGCGAGCTTCACTCGGCGATGCATCGCGGATAGACCGGCGATAGGACCCCGACAGCAAAACTGCACGGTCTTGGGCGGGGTGGACCATCGGGCACCTGTCGGCGATGAGCGGGCGATGGGGGTCACTGCGTTTCCCTTGGAGCCATCCCCCCCCGGAACACTGCCCTGGACCACCTTCGAGCGATGAGGGGCGGCCTCGGTCAGCCACTCGTCCGGCCGCGGCATGTCCGCGTCGCGCGTCGACGCGACGGCGCCGTCCTGCCCCAGGATGCACATGGCGTGGGCGGCTGGGCGAACTGGGGTGGTCACAGGAGAGCCGCGTCGAGCACCTGGGCCATACGATATCCTTGTTGAGCCTCGAACCGGAGCAACCGCGAAGTTGCCGCGAGCTGCTCTGCTTGTTGTATCAAAAAGGCGCCAGGGGCCCCGTGCTTTCGGAACCAATACATCTGAGACAGGCGATGGCGAGGAAAACGGCGACAACGAATAGGAGAGAAGATGAAACAAGCAAAAGGACCGTTCATCTGCCCATCCCTTGTCCAATCTTCCCTTCCGCCACGTCCCTATCCTTTTCGTCACGTCGTCGTCCGTGTCTTCGTCGCGTCCTTGTCCTCATTTTCGCCCTGTCCTCCTCACACTCCTCCTAATACTACGGCTCTCACTCGCGCCACGAGCCTCACCGTACCACTTCGAGGGCGCTGGGCAACTCTACCCGCTGAGAGCTCCACAGCCCAGAAGCAGTTCAACCTCGGGGAAGCCTCGCAGGAAGCCGCGCACACCCGCGGGCGGGACGGTGCCAGGAGGCGGCCACGAGGGGACAAGGAGCAGGCACCCAGGCACCCACCCCCCTTTTTTTAGCCCGACCCAGCAGGGGCCCGCACAGGCCCCGAGGTTTGAGCAGGGACCGACAATCCCAGCATTTCTATAGTCCTACCACGAAATGTTCTTAAAAGCCAAAATTACCCCCCCCCCAAAAAGGTCTTAGAACGATAACCCGATGTGTTAAAAACAATACCATCAAAAACAGAAGCGTTCTAAGAACACTTCGTGGAAACCACAACAGGTTCTTAGAACATTGTTTGGTAGGGTTGTAGGCGAGCCAGGACGCTTCGCCACTGCTTGGAAAGGCGGGCACTTTTTTCCCGGACGGCCAGGCCCCCCGCCCCCAACGGCCCGCGCGGGCCACGGCGCGCCCAGGCCCTCTTGCCCGAGAGCTGCCCGGGCAACTCCCCCCTCCTCGGCACCGCGCTCGCCGTCTTGCCCCCGCTGCTCTCGAGAGGGCCGCCGCGAGACGCACGATGCCCATCTGCTTGAGGCCTTGGCCCAACGAAGATCTCGAAAGGGCGCCTTTGCAACTGGTGCTCGGGAACCTCGGACTCCGCCTCGACCTTTCACAAGCCATCTGTTGCGCCTCGGTGCGTTTCGGGACGAGCGGGCCCGTCGCGGCGACTGCGATGACACCGAACAGATCGATTAGCATTATCAGTTTCTTGGCTTCGCACGCGTGGCTGATGGCGGAGTCCTTGGCCCACTCCGACGCGCCTTCGCCAGCTCCATTTGCCAACATTCGAAGTCGAGCTGGCAACCCTTTGAATCTTCGCCCCTGCTGAGATACGTCCTGATATGACTTGCTGCCAAAATATGTCAAAGCCTTCGAAAACAGTTGCAACTCTGGGGACCATCTCGCGCGCTCGGTACCCTCGTCCTGGTCGTCTTCGCGCGCGTGTCGTACTTCGCCTTGCACTTGATCGCTCGTGGTTTGTCCGCTGGCATGAGCACCAAGGCCTGCGATCCGTACTCCAGCGTGCACATTATGGATCCGACCTGAACCGCCATCTTCTTGATGGTCGCCTTCTCGGTGTCTTGCCTTTTGAGTTTCGCGGGCCCGCTGGCTTCGCCATCGCCCCCCGTCTGCTCGCCAGCGATCCAAAACGCCGATAAATATTAGATGATCAGCAATACACTGCGAGAGGTGCGTTTCAAGGACATGCTGCCTCGACGCCCAGTGGCCTTCGGCTTGGTAAATCGCACGGTGGACAGTGTGTCGTTCCGAGATACGCCCGCCCTCGAGCGAGCCTGGCCCTCGCGCCACGCTCGACCATATGCTCTGTTCATCGATTATGCGCCCGTGCGCGCGTTGAAAAAATCACAACATATCGAGCAATGATTGCTCGCACAACATTTTCTGAACGATGCCCGTCGACTACGAGTTCCGCGCATCATATGCGCATGGCGCGCTGCTCTACGATCGCGGCCCGGCAAGACAGCTTGGCATCTGAGCCCTTGCTCGCCCACCCCAACACAGATCGCCCCCCCGCCATTGACGGCGGGCCCACGGCTCGCTCGATTGCGGACGTAATGCGAGCGCGAACCCGCGAGATCCACGTCGACGATATCCTCTCTCTCGGCCCTCCGCGATGGGCCCGGACGGCTCGCGGTCGCATCTGCCCAAAGAATCTTGCGCCAGTCGCATGAACGTGAGCAACTATGCCATCTTGGAGCTGCTGACGGGGCCGCGGATTGCTGGCCTGCCAATTCGAAACGTCGATCGTACCCCCCCCCCCGCCCGCCCCACCCCGCATCGCCACCGCGCGCGCGCCCCGCCCCGCCCCGCTTCCATCTGCGCGAACCCGACGTCAGAGCCCCGCAGACCGGGACACGCTAGACCCGGACACCCAACATCCCTCGAAACCAATTTTTCCAAACGGCGGCACGAACAAAATACTGCATGCAGCACTTCCAGAATAAACCCGGACACAGGCCCCAAAATCCTGCAAGACACCCCTAAACCCGGACAGAAACCCGAATCATGCAGCGCAGCAAACAAACAACGCACGGGTTCTGAAAAAAACGTGACTTTGCAGAAAAAGGTGTCGTTTCCTTGGTTTTCCGTGTCCTGGTTAATCTGTGTCCTGGTCTCCGGGGGCCTGACGACGCCTGGCACCTAACGCTGGCTCTGCCCCGCTGCGCGGAATCAGTCAGCCGACGCGGAAGCCGCTAAGCCGACGGACGCGAGCTTCCACGAACACATTTGCACGGCCAAGCTTCTCGATCACCTCCAGGTTCGAAGCCGACCGGATATGCGCGCCGCCCCTCGTCTGAGTCACTTCCCCAAGCGCGACCCCGCCTCGCTTCGCTACGAAAGCCCTCGAGGCCAATCGAGTCGGGCGCTCGCGTCGGGCCGTCCAGCTTCACAAGCGCATCGCGCTGCTGCTGTTGGGCCACCCCGGAGAATGCCATCCCTGAGAACCTCGCGCTCATGCTGGAAAGCTCGCTGACCACAATAAGGCGGCTTTGTCTTCCGCCGAAGATGCCAGGGGGGTTGTCCGTTCGTCTCTGTCGCCCCCAGCCCCTGCGCCCCTCCTTTCCATGGGCCCGTCGCCGCCACCCCCCCTCACGCCCGGGCCTCCCCGTCGAGCGCCGGGCCCGTCGCCGCCCCCCGCCTCGCCCCGAAACACTGCTTCTTCACCGGGCCAGCCAGACCGAGATTGAGCAACGTCGCGATTGACTCGAAGGGCAGCCCCACCCCCCCCCCCTGACCCCTCCCCCGCCGGGGGTGGGCGGTTGGCCTGGCGGGGGGCCCCGGGGCGGCCGCGGGCCAGATGCGACGCCCCCCCGGGGGCTCCTCCCGGGGGCCCCAGGGCCCCAAGGAATGCCCAAAACGGGCCAGGGGCGCCCCGAGAAGCCAAGAAAACCGTTCGAGAGGGCCCCGAATCGCCGAACGACCCGACAAATGCGCCTCGACGGCCTCCAGGCGGCCCAAGAGCCTTGCAGAGCGCCCCGAGAGGCCCCCGGGAGCTCTCCCGCGAGGGCCCCGAAAGAAAATCATAGATTTCCCTGCGGGCGTTCGAAGGCACGCCGGCGCTCTCGCCCCCCCCCCCCCGCCCCCCGACGCTTCAACGCGACCCGGGGGCCGCGGCAGATCGCGCCAAAACGGCCCGAGCGGGCCCCGAGACTGCTCGAGACGCCCTCAAGACAGCCCAAAAAAATGATGCCCAGACGACTGGCCAGAACAAACACGTCGAGCCCTCGGCTCCGAGAGGCCCCCGAAGCCAAGGCCCCCAAGAGGCCCCAAGAGGCCCGCATGAAGCCCCCAGGAAGCCCCGAGAGGACCCCAAAGAGGCCCCCAAGAGGCCCCCAAGAGGCCCCCAAGAAGTCCCCAAGCTGTCCACCAGAGGTCCCCGAGACCGTTTCGAAGAGACCCCGAGCAGAATCCACGAGGACTCTGACCGCGTCAAGCGTCGTCGTCGTCGTCGCCGCCGCCGTCGCGCCCCCCTTCAGGGTCGGCGGCGCCGGCCGCGAGGTCTTCGCTATATCCTGGCCCAGACCCACATCATCGCGCATCTCGTCGGCGCGCCAGTTCTGGTTCAAACCATTTTCGATGCCTCCTCCTTGTTGCCATGCGTCCACGCATCGGCGACGCTGGCCCCGAAAATGCGACCGCTGCCCGAGTTCCCGCGCCCGTCAACGGGTCGGCCACCCCAGCAAATCTGCGACCCTGCAAGGCAGATGCTTCTGCACCTCTCGCAAGCGCCACGCTGGAAAAGAGCGCCGTGCACGGGTCATTAGGCACGCAGCCCCCCTGCGCCGGCCGCAAATTGCCGGCCGAAGCCCCAAGACAAAAACGCACCCATTGATTGAACTGCCCAGCGCAAATGCGACGCGCCCCCCGCCGAGATGAGTCGCGACAGCATGATCGAGCTTGGCCGTCTTGCGAGATGAGAAAGCGCGCGCGGCGTCGCGGCGACGGCGCGCGCGTTGCAGCCCCATCTTTCTGGGCCGCCTTGCGCTGCGCATCTGGACCGCGAGCGCGCCTTCCCGCCCGCGGTGCCCGAATGCGCCGAGAGCCCAGCTCGGCGCGCCACCCGTCGAAGCCTGATTCCCCATCTTTGCTGCTCTCGCTCAAAAGCGTCAAACGACATCTCTGTTTTCCCCGAATTCTCTCCATCATCGCACTCAGGAGCACGTGGAACATGGGGCCTATCAACAACTGCTCGCGCACGGACATGCGCCCTATGCCGCGCTCGCGATTCATCGCACGATCGCTGGCCCACTTGGAAAACATCATACATCTGCGAGGCCTATTCGCATAACCGACCACCGCACGCAACAACAACGAATTGCAACTGCGGCTGGAGGCGGGGCCACGCCAAGCAACGTCGCGCCCCCGCGGCAAACCAGGCAGGGCGCAGCGCGGCGCGCGGGCGCCCAGGCACGCGGAGCCCCCGATGCAGAAACAGCACTCTTCGGCTGTTTATATATATATATATGTAAAAAAAAACTCTTTCATTGCATGAAGAATCTTCTACGCCACTCCTGCGCGCGTTTTCATTAATTACGTTTCGGCCCTTAGCGGAGAGGGGGCAGCCTGGTCGTCGCTGGCGGCGGGGAGAGGCTGCGAGGTTTTCCACCAAAGCGAAACTGCACCAAATCGGATTGCATATATTTCCAGATCTCGGCGGCGGCGGCCACGCACTGCGCTCGGGACGTCGAAGAAGCTCGGCGCTCAAACTCCACTCAGGCGACGGCCCCCGCAAATTGGCCTTCCAAGCCGCCGGGCGAATCCTGCCCGCCTCCTCGCCGGCCCCCTCAGCCGCGACACTCGATCTCACTGCCGAGGCGCGTCCCCGACGAAGATCACCTTCTCGAACATCGCGTCACGGGCGTCGCCTTGCGCGCCTACCTTCTTCATCTTACTGGTCCAACCTGCAACTGCCCCTGGAATGCGGCGCCGCCCAAATGCGCGCGTTCGCCCGCCTCGGCCCCGCTGAGCCCGCGACCTCGCCATCTTGCGCACCGCGTGCACATCGCTGGCCTTCGCTGCCCTCGCGCGCCCGTCGCACCGCAACTCCGTCACCTCTGGCCAATACTCTCGTCGTCGCACTGTCAACCATCTGCTGAGTAACTTCAGCCTGAACTTGATCTGCTCTCTCAGATACCCTGATCAGCCAACGGCCGATATCTGCCAGCGCAAAGAATTCTGCGCCAATGGCGGTCTGGCACCTCCCCCCTGCCCGTCTCGTCCGCCGACCCTGACAAAGACGCGTTCGGCGAACTGATGTCTCTGACCCTTTTTCGCTTGCACAAGAGACGAAGAAACATCGCATTTGGGCGCGTTTCCTGCAATGCGATGCCCCGGTCTAACGCATGCGCAGAGGAAGATGACTGATATGTTTATTCCTGCGTGTCGGGGGCGAACAGCACTACTTGCGAATCGGCGGCATACTGCTCACTCTCGCGGGAGAACTCCTCAAACTCGACTACCTTTGCAGATTCCTCCGCATAGCTTGCAAACTGCACAGATTTGACGCCACGATGACATTATGTGTACCCTGGCTGCTCGGTCACAATGCTTTTGCTGCGTCCTCGATCGCCTCGCGGGGCGCAGCGTTGACAAAGTCGGGCACCTCATCCCAGTTTTGTCGCGAAGATGTTGTCTCTGCTGCCTTAATATGTCCTCAACCTGCTTCACACAGTCACAGGGCCTGCACAATTGTGGCCTGGCTGCAACATTCGTGCAGCTGCACGTGTGTCAATGTTAATTGGCTCGCCACGTCTGGCTCACGAACTACCTCTAGATCGAAACGCGCCGCCGCTACCCGCCCATGATCCCCGATATCCTGAGACGCTGCCACCTGCTACCTCCACGAGCTTGGCACGAACGCCCTGCACCACCACGTAGTTGCCCGCCACTATGAAGGGATGCGTATACAATCCAACGCCGTCGACACTCCATGTTTGAAATATGTCGAGCCTGCTTTAGGACAGAATGTGCGGAGCGTCACCTTCTGGTGTTCCTTCAACGCTAGTGCAAGTGATTCACTTGTGAAAGTTGAGCTCTCCAAGGCGAAACTCTCCTGTCGCACCCTCCACGTTCGCGAACTAAACCCACGAACGAAACAGGATACCATGGTACGCTCTGTACCGCCAGTACTCCATATAGCCATGCAGAATCGTCTTGACCGTACGCTGCCACTTCGCCGTCGCCTCCTGGCTTCGGCTGGGCAGAGGGGGGGGGAACAACAACACCATTACCATGCGCAGAAAACTGAATACCACTTTTACTGCGCCACCTCTTCTGCGCAATCCTTTCGGTACTGGCAGGCATCCTCTCAGGCATAGTTTCAGGAATTCTGGGGACTTCTTGGGCTGGAGCCAGACAGAAAATCCACACGATTTGCTCATTTGTGGCCCCGAAACCCATCACCAATCAACTGAATAGTACGACCCTGCTCTGAATGCTGCGCTGGTAAGCTCGGGCAGCCCGCGGTTGCCCATAACAGCGCGATGCTGTCGAGACTCGCGAGCTCGTCGACGAGATCCTGGGCGCGCGAGCGGTTGGCGCTGAGAGGAGTGACGAAGCCCAGGGCGGCAGCACTGCGGGCCGCCTGAACCACACCTCTGGCTCCACAACCAGCTGCAGGCAAGCATCCTGACATCAGAACAAGGCGGCGCGGCGCCCCCCCCCTATTTTGAGAAGAAAGGCCACCTTTCGTACTCCTCCCCCTCCTACTCCTCATTATCTTTGTCCTGTCCTCGTTCTTTTTTCCGTGCCCTCCTCCTTCTTCGTTCCCAGACCTCCGACGTCGCGTGTTCTCAATATGAGGTCCCTGGAATTCCACGGCCCCTTTTCCCGAACCGGCCTTTCCATCCTGAAAGATGTCTTACGGTTCTGGAGCCTAGAAACGGCTTCCGGGGCCCGAGATTTGCGTTATAACTCAAGAGGGAGGGAGGAGGAATGAGTGGGAGCGTTGTTGGCACCTGACGCGGTCACACCCACACAGCTCACTCAGGATCTGAATCGCTAGGTCACTAAAGTCGCTGCAGCTAGAACGTCGGACATATTGCAATCCTACTCGAGTGAAAGGAGAGAAGACGGGGACGGGGCTTTGCGAGGTCCCTATGCGTTTTTGTAAATATTTGGAGGTCGTTGCGGCTCCCTGGAGACTGCGCAGGAGGAGCGGCAATAGCGGTCGCTAAGCCAATACCTCCGTCGCAGTTTCGCTCGTTTCTCGATCCTTGAAACACGACGCCGACGACGACGACAACGACGACGACGACGACGACGAGGCCGCTGCTTCGGGACAACCAAAAGGCCGCCGATTCCCAATCCTGGGACCGTCAATAAAACGATGCAGGGCCCAGGGAAGGAGGTCGACATTCCCGGGCGCCCATGTCACAAAAAAAATGGCGTCCTGAAGAGAGGGTATACACAACCGCCGGATGCCTGCCCGGGGCCACCCGTGCCAGGGGCGGGGTGCGTACGCCCTCCCGGCCGAGGCCAGGACAGTCTGCACGCCGTCCTGGGGCCCTGGGACTGCCAGGCCACCACCGCGCCGCTGCCGCGCCAACACTGCCGCGCTGCCTTGCCGCGCGCCTGCGACGCCAGGTCGGACCGCCAGGGCGCCGCGCGCGCGGCGCTCAGGGCGCCCCCGCGGGTTGCCGGTCGCCCTCCCCGCCCCCAGGCGACTTCAGCAGCGGCTTGGCCTCGCGGGGGCGGGGGGGGCGCCCCCCCGCGCCGCCCACCGAGGAGTGCCTCGCGCCTAGCTCGGGCGCAACGGGTCGTCGCCGCCGCCACCGGCACCGCCGTCGCCGTGGTCGTGGTCGTGTTCGTGATCGTGGTCGTGGTCGTGGA